GATTCCTGAGATTATTGGTGCATGCCATTACACACAGATTATGAGCACACATACATATATATATGTACATATATACACATATATACATATGTGTACATATACATGTATATATATGTATGTATGTATATACATGTATATGTACACACACAAATAAGGTCAGCAGGCCTTGAGGGGGAAGGACCTGCTGACTGTGAGTGACCCTGTCCAATAGCTCAAGGCCCAGATAGGTCAATAGGCTGAGGCCTCTGCGGCTGCCACTGCTGTGGAGTTCAGGCTGCAGCTACCTTAGCATGTATGCAGACCCGCTCAGCTTCCAGGCAGAGCTGCATCCTCCAGTCCTCTCAGGAGTTTTCAGCTCCTTAGCCTGAGCAGCCCCTGGTTTCCTCGGCCATCGGGAGACTCCCCAGCCTCTAATGGTGCGGGCTGACCTAATAAATCACCCCCTGTAACTACACGTGCAGTCTCTTGGTGCTGTTCCTGAGAACCTCGACAAACAGGAGCAGAGCAAGGTTATGGTTGGTGTGGCTCATATAGGAGTTCAGAATAATAAGGTTTTCTTTTTCCTATAAAAATTAAAAATGACTAATTTATACATCTCTTGTATTTGCATCATTTGCTGTCACTGAAGCAAATTCTTCCCACTGGGCTACGCATGCCTTTCTAAAATCACTTTAGAAACATGAATGATAAGTGTCTTCTTCAGACTGAACAGATTCATCAATGTTTCCAAAACTGGCTGTGTCACATGACAGGAAGAGGCGAGCCTGAGACATTTCCCTGCATAGGCAGGCTCTTGGGAAGATGGTCCTTTCTATGGTCAGTGTGTTTGAGATGTCAAGTTCTGAACTGGTTCTGTCAGCTCATGTGTAATCCACTTCAGCACGGCGCCAATCAGCTGAACTCAACATTATTTGTTTCCCTATAAAGACTCTGTGGGCATAGGCTGCCTCACCAGTATAAAACTTAATTATTAGCTGTAAAGCTCTGAGATCCTGAAAGGATAGTGGTGTTATGAACACAGCATTGCATCACAACAGCCAGGAGAGTCCAAGATTCCCACCATAAATATGCACAATAAAAAGAAGGAATGCGCACTTACAGAAACAAGCCTTTTAGTTACAAAGATGATGACTGCAGACTTCAGAATTAGGTCCCTTTGACATGAGGCAAAGCCCATGTAATAGCACATGAAATCAAGATGGAGGTTTATTTTCTCTTACATTTAAACAAGCCCAGAGAAAGGCAGTTGTGGTTGGCACCACATCTTCCTGGTATCAAGATATGAGCCCCTTCCACCTCTCCTGGCCACTGTGACTTTTATCTTCAAGGCTATGGCTAGGATCGCTGCAGCCATCAAAGCCATGATTTATACATCAAAATAAGAAGATGAGAGCAAAAGAGTCCATCTCTAAGTAACACAGTGTCTTTTAAATGAAAGAACTGTGGGCCTGTGAGACAGCAAGGTGTGTAGAGACATTTGTGTAAGCCTGAGGACATGACCCCGTAGTGGAAGAAGTTATCCCTTTAACTTGACATTCACATGTAGCCACAATCCCCACATACATACACACATCCCCCAAACAGAGGGAAGCAGATATACCAAATCCAAGTTTTCCAGAAATTTTCAAAGAACAAAGAATTAAAAATAGAAGGAAAGCTAGGGTGATGGCTCAGTAAGAGCAATTGCTGTGCAAGCACAAGGAATCCCTAGCACATAAAAAATATGCCTGTAATTCAGGAAGTACAAACAACGGAGTCAGGATTTCAAGGTCCATTACAGCTTGAGTTCAAGGCCATCTGGGCTACATGAGACCCCACCTCAAAAGCAAACAAAAACATGCACATCAGCTAGAGAAATGGTTTTTATCTTTCAGAATATTTAGGATTTTATTCAACTTTCTGATCCTTCTGTTTTGGAAAGTTCTGAGGACAAGTTTGAGAATGTCTCAAGAAAGGCATGATATCTGATAATGTTATTGTGGCATCATAGGTGGTAACTCTTACTCTACTGCTTTTGACACACCAGTTACCTCCATTTTATGTTAGGCATCAGTTTGGAATCAGCTAGCTTCAGTTTCAACAGACTCTAAACTTCTGAAGCATTCAGAATGTCTCCTCCCATATAGTAAATAGCATTTCTTGTACCATTTGTCTAACTTTGAGAGATTTAAGTTTAAAAAAAATCTGTTAAAACAATCTAAGTTAAAAAAAACTTAGAGTATAAAAAAAAACATTTTATTAACTAATAAATTAGTTAATCCTAAAAATAATGCTGGGTCTTTTTTTTTTTTCAACTAAAAAATAGATTTGAAGCTGGGTGTCTTTAATCCCAGCACTTAGGGAGGCAGAGACAGGTGGATCTCTGAGTTCAAGACCAGCCTGGTCTATAAAGCCAAGTCTAGGACAGCCAAGGCTATACAGAGCAACCCTGTCTCAAAAAACAAAAATTGATAAAAGTATCATCAAAAGTTATAAAGAAATTGTGCTGGCTAGTTTTATGTCCACTTGACACAAATTATAATTATCTGAGAGGAGGGAACCTCCTTTGAGAAAATGCCTCCATAAGATTGGGCTTATAGGCAAGCCTGTAACCACTAAAAAGCAGCCCGGATGGCCTCTGCATCAGCTCCTGACTCCCTGACCCTGCCCTATTTGAGTTCCTGTCCTGACTTCCTTCAATGATGGACTATGACGTGGAAATGTAAGCCTAATAAAACCTTTCCTCCCCAACCTGCTCTTGGTCATGGTTTTTCATCACAGCAATTGTAACCTTAGTATGACAAGGACTCAGTTTATCACTTAGTGATGGAAAGCTTGCCTGGCACATACAAAGCCATGGGTTTGATTCCACCATAGCAACATACACAATAAATAAGTTGCATGCCCTAATTTTGTTCTCTCTGGTAGGTCAAACACCTGCAACAGTACCTAATGCATAATTACATCAGAAAGAACAATCATTTTTTAATGAATGAGTAAATGTCTAAAGCTTCAAGTAATTTTGTCTCTATCCTTTCACTACCTCTCCCTTAAGAATCTCCTGAAGCCACATTCTTTTATTTCATAAAGCCATAGAATAAAAGAAAGTGGGTGAAAGTGGGGTGGGGGTTAATATTAAAATAAAGATTTAAAGATTAATATAAATATATATTTATATATTATATTATATATTTATATATAAATATATATTTTTAAAGAAAGACTGATGAGTTAAAATGAAATATTGAAAAAAAAGCTAGCAACATTAAAGTTTAAAACAATTGGATCAACAAATTTTTCATCAAGAAAAGAGAAAGTGAAAGCAAGGTTAAAGAGTCTTAATCTCAGAGAAAACGTCACCTTTCAAAATACAAAGCAAACATTACTGTAACGATGACTGTACTCCAGCTCCAGTGTCCTGGCTCTGGCCTAGTTAACTAGTTATCTATTAATTAGGATATTAATGTGTTTGCAGGACCATTGAGTATCTCCTCCCACCTAAAATTCAAATATGTTCTGGCTCATTGACATATTCCCCCACACACCCTCTCCTTTTCTCCCCTCTCTCCCTCCCGCTCAGGAATCTGCTCCCCTCTTTTCAACCAGCCTTCCTTCCTTTTTTCCTTGAGAATATATCTCCTGCTCGTGATACGCTGCAGCCCAGTACTCTAGGAAGACTGTCTTAGTTTGCTTCCCATTGCTATGATAAAACACTGGCCAAAAAACAACTTGGGAGAAAGAGTTCATTTCATCTTACAACTTGGGTCAAGCTCCCTCCCTGTGGGAACCCAGGGCACGAACTGAAGCTGAGGCTTGCTCTCCCCATGGCTAGCTCAGCTTGCTTTTTAATACAACTCAAGAGCCACCTATAGGAGTGGTACTATTCACAGCGGGCTGGGCCCTCCCATATCAATCATTAATAAAGAAAATACCTGACAGGCCATTTGATAGGGACATTCTATCAACTGTGGATATCATGTGCACATTCTCTGATGAGGTCTGAGTTTACTTTTTCGGCCCACTTTTTTTTTTTTTTTTCTTCTAGTTTTTCGAGACAGGGTTTCTTTGTGTATCCTCAGCTGTCCTCAGCTTTGTAGACCAGGCTGGCCTTGAACTCACAGAGATCCACCTGCTTCTGCCTGCTAAGTGCTGGGATTAAAGACTTGTGCCACCATGACCAGCTTCAGCCCACTTCTTAACTGCATTTTCCTCTTATTGTTGCATTTTCAACATTCCTTCTATAACTGGTCGTGCATAGCTTCAAGTTCTGCATCTAGATTCAATCAACTGCCGACTAAAATATTCTGGAAAAATATCTGTATTGGGTATGCAGACTTTCTTGCCATTCCCTAGAAAATACACTACATAGGATTTCCATCATGTTGGATATTTTAAGTATCCTAGAGATGACTTAAATTACGAGGGAGGATGTACAGAATATACCTATTCACTAAGCCATTTTTATATATGGGTCTTGAGCACCCATAGACTTTTGGCATCCTTGGAAAGGGGAATCCTGGAATCCCTAACCGTTACTGAGTAAAAGATACTGAGCTATTGAGTATTCTGGATAAATGATTAGTTAAGTGGGAGCATTCTTTGATAACTAGGCACCCTTAAGTAGCAAGGAACATTGCCTAGCAACTGGACCAGCAAACTGGGTTGAAGCATAAACCAGAAAAAAATCAGAAAGTTCCAAGGCCTCAGGGACACGGGCCATCTGGAAGAGTCAGCAAGAGCTCACTAGACTCCGGACGGTGTGGCCGTGGTAGGGTCTGGTACCAGGGGCCTAGCCTGCCCCACAGGCAGCAGGCGGGCAGAGGACACATTTCCCCAAACCACCCAGGTTTCCGGGAGAGGCGGGTGTTTCAGATAAGAGACGGCGCCCAGGTAAGGATGAGAGCAAGCCCAGAAGCCAGCGGGGAGGAAGTAGCGCTGCGGACCCGCCCACGAGACCCGCCCTAGCTGGTTGACCCGGAAGCGGTTGCGCGTAACGCCGCGCGGCCCGGCTCCCTTTTCCGGTCGGCGTGGTTCTCGAGCGGAGCGTCTTCCGCCACCGGGCCTTCGCCATGAGCGTCCCGGCCTTCATCGACATCAGCGAGGAAGACCAGGTGCGCGTTGCGGGGCCCGCGGGGCGGCTGGGGAAGGCCGTAAGGAGGGGGCGCTCTCTCCGGGCCCGGGTCTCGGCGCGTGCGCGGCCGGCGATCGGGACGCGGGCCCGGCGGGCGGCGGGTCTCCTCCGGAGTCGCCGGTGGTGACCCAGAACTTTCGGCGGGCAGGGGACGGCGTCCGCGAAGTTGGCGTGTGGTCGGCCTAAGCCGTCTGAGAAAAGCCACTTTGAGCGGAGCGTGAAAGGCGGGTCACAGACGAGGGGGGCCTGTAGCTTACGCGGTGACCCGTGTTCTGTGTTCCCACAATCCCACCTGTCAGTCCCCTCTCTGCTGGGAGGAATATGCATCTGGCGGGCCGTCCCGACACTTTGAAGTTTACTAATTGGGGCTTACACTCCCGTTCACGGGACGGATGGCTTCTCGTCTTTGCCATAACAAGTTTGGTGGTTGAGATGATATACATTTTTTTGATAACCTAAATTATTCTTGGAAGACGTTTGTCCTGTGCGTGCGTACACGCGAGACACCACTGACGAGAAATTTGAGGGTCCATGGTAAACAGGGACGGAGAGGGAGTTATCCACACCTAGAAAGATAACAGAAGAAGGAGTATTTGATGGTAGTGGAAGTGTATGTTACCGGGAATTGACTAGGTGTTTACAGAGAAGGTACTCCCGGCCAGGGTCTGTGACCTTGTCATTGGTCATATTGTACAGTGTCTTGTGGTCAGCAAGAATAATACAAAAACGTTACACTTTTTTTAAATTTTGTTTTGTTTTAGAAAAATTTTTTAAAACCTTGATTGGATTATATATTTGTAACACAAAGGATGTCTCTGGTGTCATTTTGTTCTTTCTAATTTGACAGTTGAGTTTTCAAAGTACTCCATATATATATATATACCATACCAACTTCTTATAGGAAGCTACTATGTTACTGTTTGGAAAAATAATTCCATCAGTTCTGTGGGTTTATTAAAGGTTTCTGAGGTAGCTAAACACATTTGGGGGGTTGAAAATGTTGGTTATCTTCCCCAAGGTTCTTTTGCTTTGTCCAGACAAGTTGACACCGTGCATTTTTTTATTCCTTTCCCTCTTTTGTATGGATTTTTGGCAAGTGTTTCACTATGTAGCCGTGGCTGGCCTGGAACCTGGAGCCAATAGAGATCTCCCTGCCTTTGCCTCTGCCTCAAGTGTTGTCACAACTGTGCACCACCTCAACTCAGCCTCTCTCTCTCTCTCTCTCTCTCTCTCTCTCTCTCTTTCTTTTGAGACAGGGTTTCTCTGTAGCCTTGGCTGTCCTGGACTACTTTGTAGACCAGGCTGGCTTCGAACTCACAGAGAGCCACCTGCCTCTGCCTCCCCGAGTGCGGGGATCACAGGCGGGCGCCACTGCCACCCTCCTCACCTGTGCATTTTCTTAATGGAATTCTTTACTCTGATGATGATAATTATTATTCTTATTCTTATTATATTTTTCGAGACAGGGTTTCTCTGGGTAGCCTTGGCTGTTGTGGAACTCACTCTGTAGACCAGGCTGGCCTCAGAGATCTACCTGCTCCTGCCTCCCGAACACTGGGATTAAAGGCTTATGCCATTACTGCCCAGCTCAAATATTTTATTTCATTAGCTTTAAAAAATCATTTACATTCATGTTTGACCACGTAAATGCCAAACCATCAAAGGAAAAATTATTAAAGATCATAATTATGGAATAAAGTAGGAGATATCCAAATGACTTAATTTAGTAGTTAGTTGTTTTGATAGGACCAAGAGTCCTATCTGGCTTTCTGACCCAGAGATCCATGTTACATTTTAAGATACCTGTTACGCAGTGCATGGACTTTGATATATAAACATTTTGATTCAGGCTGCACTGTTAGGCATTACCTTTTTATATTAGTGTCTTCCAAAATGCTTGTCCCAAATGGTTCTCAAGTTAATAGCAAATGATTAGCCTTTTTTCCAGGTGATGACTGTAATGTCTAGTAGCTCTATTTGTGTATACACTTGACAGCAATAAAATTTTCATTTATTAAAAGAACTTCGACTTTGCCAGGTCAGCTTGACGTCTCTCTAGTTTCCATCCCTCCCAGTGGGTTAAATGAGAAAGCGATTGCTGCAGTTAGGAAGTCCAGCTGATGGAGGTGACACGAAACTGAATAGGATCCCTGTGAAGTGTGTCTACACGGGCTCTGTGGGAACCCGCGCTGTTGAAGGCACAGCACTTAGCTTTAGAAGCAGGGCAGGTGGGTTGGATATTTGTGTTTTCTCATATATCAGTTTTACAAGTGGACATAGAGATTTAGCAACCCTGTTTGATTCACAGGCAGCTGAACTTCGTGCTTATCTGAAATCAAAAGGCGCCGAGATTTCAGAAGAGAACTCGGAAGGTGGACTTCATGTAGATTTAGCTCAGATTATTGAAGCCTGTGATGTGTGTCTGAAGGAAGATGATAAAGGTTTGTTTTAATTCTTCCTACAAAATACTTCTTACTAATCATAAGAAATTTTTAATTTTTTCTTGTCAGTAATGTGCTTTGGTTTCAGACTTTTAAGATTTTTAAGCAGTGTGGAGGGGAACGAATACAATCAAAAATGTATAAAAATTTTTAATTAAATATTTTCAAGCAGTTGTTTTTATTGTAATCTTTTCATAGAATTTTAGTTTGTTTTTTTTTGTTTGTTTGTTTTTTCTGTTAAACCTGTAAAATAAGCCATTTGGGGAAAACCTTTTTCATATGTGTATCAGTGTGTTTCTACACTTACTAGAAGTTGATGGTTTTAAACTGAACTGAAGCGGTCTGGATGGACATCAGAGGGGATTGTTTCAAGTAATAGTTCATTGAAATCTAGAGATAAAACCTTGTGTGTATACGTGTAAGTAATGGCTGTAATACTTGAAAATGAGTTAACCAGATAGAAATTTAATAGCCTTCCACTTCAAAATAATTCTCTACATGAGGTACAAAGTTTTCTTCAGTTGAGACACCCTGGCCTAAAATCCAACTAGTAATTTCAAGATGGTTGGACATTATGCCAATAAAAGTCACACAAGAAAATAAATGAACATGTAAATCGTGCACCAGCTTTCTGAATGCTGGCTCTGCAATGGCGCCAGTGCAGTGTGACTCATGGATGCTGTGTCCACAAAGCTATCCCTGAAGTCAAGTGTCTTCTCAGAGTTGGACAGTAGAGCATCTTTGTGTTGAAACACCAGAAATACATACTGAATTAGACATGGGTGTTGTATCTCTGCTGATTGAGTTCTTGATGCCTGTGTAGATGTTGAAAGTGTGATGAACAGCGTGGTATCGCTCCTGTTGATCCTGGAACCAGACAAGCAAGAAGCATTGATTGAAAGTCTGTGTGAAAAGTTGGTCAAGTTTCGGGAAGGCGAACGTCCATCTCTGAGACTGCAGTTGTAAGTTTTAGACTACAGGAGGGGCCTGGAGAGGTGGCTCCACAGAGGACCTGAGTTTGGTTCCTATCATTCTTTCAGGCGACTCAGCTTTCAGTAACTCCAGTTCCTAGGAATACACCACTGGCCTCTGCTGGCACCTACACACACAGACACATGCACACAAAATTTAAAATAATAAAAAATAAATCTTCTTTAGAAACAAAACATTCAAAGGGCTGCTTGTATGGTATAAATTGTGATTGCTAGAAGCAGGAATTCTGGAATTTGATTGTCAGCAGCTTTCTGGGTCTCTGGCAGTTACTTAGCCTTTCTGTGCCCCAGCTCCCTCCTTTGTAATATGAGGTTTTTATTAGTGCTGCCTTGTATTTGTTGTGAGACCAGATAACTCCAGTTAGTACTTCGGTTGTTTGTTAACCAGGCTCAGCAATCTTTTCCATGGGATGGACAAGAACACCCCTGTAAGGTACACAGTGTACTGCAGCCTCATCAAGGTGGCGTCGTCGTGTGGGGCCATCCAGTACATCCCAACCGAGCTGGATCAAGTGAGTGCCCTGCTTATAGGTTGTAGCCAAGATAGTAGCAGCTTCTTGTGTCCTGACCTTTATCTGTTTGTCCTTTGGGAAAGTGGGGGATGTAGTAGGAGCTCATGTGGCCCAGGCCGGCCTCAGACTTGCTGTGTAGTTGTAGATGAGCTTGAGCCAATCCTCCTGCCCCTCCCCCCTCCTAAGTGCTTAGTGTTTTATACTGAATGTGTATTGCTCAGCTCTCTTAATAAATTCTCTTTTCATAAATCGTGTTGTAGGTGAGAAAGTGGATTTCTGACTGGAAGCTCACCACTGAAAAGAAACACACCCTCTTAAGACTACTCTATGAGGCACTCGTGGATTGTAAGAAAAGGTATCAGAAGTACTGCATAAGCAGAACTTGATTTTCTTTTTTAAACTGCTATAGTTGGGAACCCTAGAGCTGCATATGATGTTAGACTAAGTTATTTAATGATATTCTTACGCATGGTACCAGAGTGAAGCATTCATTTTTGTTGAGAGCTGTAGTGGGTTCATAAAAGAACTGTAGAATTAAACGAGATCTTTCTTGTTGGGTTCTGGCAAGGTCTTGGTGTAAAGGCTTCTTTGTATTCAACCCATCAAACCCAGTGGTCAATATCCCAGCTTTAGGTGCCTGCAGACAATCAGTTAGCCTTATTGTATGACTGTTTAAATGAAGGCTTTATCTAGCTTTTTCTTAATACTTCTGAAATGCTACTCTTCAGTTAATTTTCTTACACAAATTTCATAATAGCTTTGGTGCTAATATCAGAAAGATGAATACATTTCTGTTATATGGCACATTGTGAATATTTTCAAGGTGTAATTTTGTTGTGAAGGTTGGTGTGTTTATCATAAGCAAACAGTGCTTACCTCTGTAGTCTGTTCTGAAGCACTGGGTAGTTTACGCCATGCTGGCCTCCTTGGGACTTTTTAACCAGTTGTCAGTAAAGGGTTGAGAGGAAGTAGTTTACATCAGAGACCATTTTAGATGGAGTGCATACAGAAGACTAAGAAACAGGTGTGTGTTGTGTGCAGGTCACAGACTCAGGCCTCCGGAGGTCAGACCTCGAGCTCATCATTCGCATGGCCTGAGTGGCTTAGTGCGACAGTAGTACTTTAAAATGGGAGCAGCACTCCTCCTCCTCACCTCAGCTCATTAGGGACATCGTATACGGAGTTTTGAAGGCTTTGTCACTAAGCAGGCACTCACTGAGCTCGCCCTTACAAGTTGAGTTCATTTTTCTACTGCAGTGGTTTTAGATGATGCGTGTTTTGATTTCTTGTGAATGTAAGGTGCCTGCTGGAGCTGATAGCCCATCTTTAAAGGATTTCTCTTCATTGCTTGTTTGGCTCTCAGTCTTTTGTATATGAAAAGGAAATAATGAATTCCAGTGGTATTCTCAGAAATCTAGGTAGGTCAGTAGCATCTACCAGGGCTACTGGACCTGTCCTGCTGTTTACATATTACAATATACTTAACCACAGCCAAGCTCTTTCTTTTAAAAAAGGCTTTATTTTTAGTTTTTTTTTGGGGGGTGGGTGGGGGAGTTGTGTGCACACAAGTGAGTGAAAGTTAGAGGAAACAGAGAAGGCAGTTCTCTCCTACCTTTCCATGGCTTCTGAAAATCTACCATAAATTTTTCAGTCTGCATGGCAAACACCTTTGCCTTTTGAGCCACCTCATAGGCCTCTCTTTTTCTCTTCTGAAGCAGTTTTTGCCGTTGGTTTTTGCAGCCCCTCTGGTATTCTTTTCTGAGTCACAACTCTCTCTCTCCTGTCTTCCCTACCTATTCTGTTGTGTTTGTTCTCTGTGGTTTGCTTGCTTGCTTGCTGCATTTGTGGAGGAGCAGGGGACCTAGAGTACCTTGAGCGGGCTGGGGTTTTTTTTGTTTGTTTTGTTTTGTTTTGTTTCTGTTTGTAATTATATTTCCTGCCGGACAGTTGGCATCTGGGCCTGCACCTGTGGCCTGACCAGCTAATTAAGACGAGCCAGTCCCCCGGTTACTGTAGTTCTAGTTGCTCCCTCACATGTCCCTTCGAGAGCTGCTGGCTTGAGCAGTCTTCTTATTCTTAAATGTCATCTACAATTAATGATTTCAGGTTTTTCTCCTTCTGCTTCTCTGAACTCCAAATGTCCATTCCTATTTTATATCTCCAAAAGAGTGTATAAAAGGAATCTTAGACTTGATAGTTGCAAAAGTAAACCATAGATTCCTCCCCTCCCCCCCCAACTCGGGAAGTTACCATCTTCATTTTTCCAGTTGATTAAGACCAAAACTTGAGATTCATCTTTGACCTCTCTGTCTGCCATCCATCAGCAGACCCTGTTGGCTTTTGAGTAAATGTAAAGTCAAACCACATCACTTCTATTGCTACCAGGTGGTCTAAGCCATTGTCCTTTTTTACTTTATTTAAAACTGCCCACTAACCAGTCCTTGTTTTGATCCTTGTTATCCTGTAGACTGTTCTCAATACAGCTGCCAGGAAGTTCTATTTAATGTGGATTATCAGACTATGTTTCTCCTCTACTAAGAACCCTCCGGGGGCTTCATTCGGAGGAATAGGCAAGCGGACTCCAGCCCCATGGCACTGGATTTTCCCAGAACACCACCTAGGTATCCACTTGGCTCCCTCATCATGCCACTCACTGGTTCTAGTCATTGGAAGGGCTTTCTTGGCCTCCTATGTAGCTAACAGTCCCTCTGCGCCATCCCTGTTACTATATATTTTCCCTTTGCCAACAGGAACGCTGTTGTGTAGAACACAGACTTTGAGGGGAGGGACTTGTACCGGTAGGCAATTGGTACCTATGTATCAGATGTGTGGCTGTTGCTAACCTAACCATGGCCAAGCGGTGGGTCCAAGAGGCAGAGATGTGAGACACTATCATGTGCTAGCTTGAACTGGTGAGTATGTGCCTTCCAAAGGCATGCAGAGTGAAACATCCTGGAACTCTTTGCAAGATGTAAGAGTTCTTCCTAGTGTTCTGAACTGAGAATTAAACTGCAGTGTTTTGGATTTGACCCTGGTTCTAAAGAACAAAGACAGTGCAGTAGACGCCTCTCTGTCTTTATTCTTTACTCAGCACATGTCTGTGGGGCTCCTCTCACACTCTTCAGTAACACTAGTCTCCTTTTTTACCTTAGCTTCTTTCTCTTTTTAAGATTTATTTTTTTATCTTACGTGTGTACCTGAACGCATATGTGCATGCAGGTGCCCTAGAGCCAGAGCTGCATTTAGTTGTAAGCTTCCTGATGTGGGTGGTGGGACCAAAGTCATGTCTCCTGCAAGACTAGCTTATGCTCTTAATCACTGAGCCATCTCTCCAGCCCCTTCTTTACACCTTTGGAATGAAAAACAATGTCTGTAGCCCAAGCTGCTCCACTAAACTTCAGATCTACTTGTGTGAATGTCTTTTCTTTGCACTCATATGTGGCCCATGGCACCATACACTCAGTGTAACCAAAATGAATTTATATTTCTTAGTCTCTGTTTCTTCTCTGTAAATGTAATGAAGGTGATTTCAGCCTCGATCCCCTCTCTCCATCATCTGATCACCTCGTTAGGTCTGCCTCCTTGGCACTGTTTCTACAGGCATCAGCATTGCTTCTCTGTGTTGTTGCAGGACTCTTCAGAGTAGTCTCTGTGTTCTCTGAATTTTCCCTGAAATTTCAACATGTTATGTAGTTTTTCATTTGGTCTTGATCCAGTATGGAATCCTTAGTGTACATTTTTCCAGCATAAGGTTCCGCCTACTGTGCTTAGTGAATAGTGAAAGCTGTCTCATCAGTGTTATAGTAACAGACTACAATAACTGTGCTTAAATATTCTGTGTGTCTCTCTTGCACACATGTTCCGCCGCCATCATATTCTTGTTTATCATACTCTAGACAAGGAACCTATCGTTCAGAATGACCATGCATTTCCCACTCTGGAGAGGAGCTTTTTGTACATGGCTCATAAGGGGAGTGGTTGTTAATTTTTAAAAATTGTTGATCTCTGTGTGTACATGTACTGTAGTGCACAGGTAGAATCCAAAGAAAGGATAATTGCAGGAGTCAGTTCCTTCTCTCTACCATGTGAATCTCAGGGATCAGACTCAGGTTGTCAAACTTGGTAGCAAGTGCCTGAACCACCTCATGTGCCTACGTTTTAATATATTGAAGTAGTTGAGGGAGAAAAAGCCACAGGAAAAGTAGTATTCCATGACATGAACGTTATATGGAATCCAGATTTCAGTATCTGTGAGATTTTGTTGGCAGACATGTATGCATGCTCATGTGCACATTCTGTGGCTGGTTTCACCAGGAGTTGAGTAGATGGAACAGACACCCTTTTGCTTGTAAAGCATTTTAAAACATTTGCTCTCTTGCATTTTACAAGAAGCTGCCTATCCCCATTCAAAACTAGAGTTTTATTTTTATGCATATAGGTGTTTGGCTTGTGTCTGTGTACCATGTACATGCCTACATTTTAAAGAGTGATCCTAGTTAGCTATTGCCATGCTATGGAGTATTTAACTTTTAAATGGAGTATTGAATACTCCATTTAATTTAAATGGAGTATTGAACTTTTAATTAAAAGACTTACTTAGTTGAGATGTACCAGATTGAGGTATACTGTGGTTGCTAAGACTATAAGACATGGTGTGCCTGGGGTCGAGAATAATTATGAGTTTCTTAATGCATTTCTTTGGATTTTTATAATTATAGCACTGTTTAAGATGTTAAGTATCATAACTATGTCTATATATGTCATTGAACTTTAGGCAAACGCAGTTCCTACTACATTTCCGAGGTTGAATGCAGATAGGAAGGGAAAATATTTCTAGAAAAAGAAACCTAATTTTTCTCAGCTTAGCAATAATTTCGGAAGTGACTGAAGATTCATCAATTAAAGCAAGTAAGAAGAACAAAGATAAATGCTGGGTTTATTTACCATTGAGCTATATCCCTAGCCAAGATAAGCATTTTATAAGCCTCCAAGTTGAAGTAAATGTATTCAGTTATCCTACCCCCTTCTGTAAAGCAAAGGACACTATCATCAGAACAAAATGAAAACCTACAGATTGGGAAAGGATCTTCACTAACCCTATATCTGACAGAGGTCTAATATCCATAATATATAAAGAACTCAAGAAATTAAACAGCATCAAATCAAATAACCCAATTAAAAAATGGGGTACAGAGCTAAACAGAGAATTCTCAATAGAGGAACATCGAATGACAGAGGAACACTTCAAGAAATGCTCAACATGCTTAGTCATCAGGGAAATGCAAATCAAAACAACCCTGAGATTTCACCTTACACCAATCAGAATGGCTAAGAGCAAAAACTCAAGTGACAATACATGCTGGAGGATGTGGAGAAAGAGGAACCCTACTCCATTGCTGGTGGGAATGTAAACTTGTACAACTACTTTGGGAATCAATCTGGTGCTTTCTCAGACAATTAGGAATAGTGCTACCTCAAGACCCAGCTATACCACTGCTAGGCATATATCCAAAAGATGCTCAGGTATACAACAAGGACATTTGTTCAACATTGTTCGTAGCAGCTTTATTTGTAATAGCCAGAAGCTGGAAACAACCCAGATGTCCCTCAATTGAGGAATGGATACAGAAATTGTGGTACATTTACACAATGGAATACTACTCAGCAATTAAAAACAAAAGAAAGCATGAAATTTGCAGGCAAATGGTAAGATCTAGAAAAGATCAGCCTGAGTGAGATATCCCAGAAGCAGAAAGACGCAAATGGTATATACTTAACTTAAAAGTGGATAGTAGGGCTGGAGAAAAGACTCAGTGGTTAAGAGCACTGCCTGCTCTTCCAAAGGACCCAGGTTCAATTCCCAGCACCCACATGGCAGCTCACAACTGTCTAGAACTTCAGTTCCAGGGATTCTAATACCTTTGTACCAATGCACAGAAAATAAAATTAAATAAATTGTTTAAAAAAAAAGTGGATAGTAGACATATAATATAGGATAATCATACTAAAATCTGTACATCTAAAGAAGCTAAGCAAGAAGAAGGACCCTGGGTAAGATGCTTAATCTTCATTCAGAAAGGCAAATGAGATGGACATCGGAAGAGGGAGAAAACAGGGAACAGGACCAGGCCTTATCACAGAAGGCCTCTGAAAGTCTCGACCCAGCAGGGTATCAAAACATATGCTGAGATTCATAACCAA